GCCGTGTTCTGTGCATAAGCGCGTTATGCTGCAGGCTGAGAGCTACCCTCTGTTTGGACGTCCCATGAACTGCGTGACGCACCTGGTGGCATCGGGTGTCGTATCACTGAGAGGGTGACCATTGTCCGTCAGAGCATGTCGGCGCTAGCGGGCCTGCTACATGCATCGGAGCAGGCAACAGGGGGGTTGTGAATTGTCAACGGAATTTGTGTGCCACCCGCATCCAAATGCATCCGAAGCGGCGATGGCGGGGTACAAGGTAGCCGACGACACTTTGTTCACATGATGAGGGCGGCCCATGGCCGCATGGGCGCACTGAGAGAGGGGCCAGCAAGTGTGCAGTGGGCTGGAGTGCTGTCAATCAACTGCCGAACAACACGCAAGCCATTTCGCTCGCGAATAGTTTCTAAACTGGGCCTCTCGAGAGCGTCTCACGGCCCCCTCCCGCCTCACCTGTGTGCACGGCCTACGCGGGCACGAGCCGGGCCCCTCGCAAAGCTCACCCATATTTAAAGCACAAGTGATACGCCTTACAAAAATACTAAGCTGCCTCGGCACCCTAGGGGCGCGACACACAGCGGAGGGCGAGAGGTCCCGCTGCAGGTGGCGAGCAGCTCGGGCCCAGAGGCCCCGTGCACCGGCATGCTGCTCGGCATGGCAGAAACCGACCTAGTGCAGGAGCTGCGTGAGAGCGTGAGTGGCTTGTGAGCAGCGGCGCCCGCAGCAGCGCCTGCGGCTTCGAGCCGCGCGGCCGGTGTTGTGCGCCTGCCTTCCTGCGGCTTCAGAGAGGTTGAGCACCTCAATGTGCTCTCGGAAACGTCGTCCGCAGAACATGCTGGAGTTTGCGCAGAGCGCCGGCGTGATCCCAATGACTGCAGAGGCCGGTGAGCGTTGCAGAGCTGCCGCGGCGCCATTCTGTGATCTGGGCCAAACGAGGCGGATCAATGGCGACGGCCGGGCGGGGAGTCGCTCCTAGAAGGGCTGTTTTGGATGGATCAGTGTGCCTATGGTCTGTCGCTAGGGCGGGATGAGTGACCCGAGTGGATGTGCGTCAATGGGCAGGCTGTGTTTGCCGTGTGTTTGCTCACGGACCTGCACCGACAGCTGAGCATTCACACTTGCGGACGCACCTTGCTTCATGTTACACAGGGCTGAATGGTTTTGGCTCCCACCCTGACAGTGGAGAGCGGCAGCATCAGGAGCAGGAGCAGCAGCAGCCGCAGCAGCAGCAGCAGCCGCAGCAGCCGCAACCAGCAGCCCTGCTGAGCCACCCGGAACAAGTGTTGTTGCAACATCAGCAAGAGCAACAGCAGCCCGAGCCGATGGACACGACAGAAAGGAACAGCCATCCACAGCATCATCACCACCACCACCAACAGCAGCAGCAGCAGCAGCAGCAGCAGCAGCAGCAGCAGCAGCAGCAGCAGCAGCAGCAGCAGCAGCAGCAGCAACAACAGCAGCGGCAGAGCGCTGACCCCAGCACAGCACCGATCAATTCAGCAGCAGACGCAGCAGTATTGGCGGCGGAGCGGGCTCTGGCGGCGGCGCGCGGCACGGTAAGCGCAGCGAGGGGCGGCTTGGGGTTCTGTTCCTTGTAGCGCTGTAGCTGGTGACTCCGCCTGGGGCCAGGGCTCCACGGCACCATTAGCCATGGGCCCGTTGTGAGGTCTTACGGCAGTCACTTCGGTGCATTGCGCTGTGTGACTTGCAATGGTTGCAAAAGGCAGCTGTGGCTGTCGCAAGCAGAGGTCTGCCGTTGCACGAGCCCAGACCGCCTGCTGTGCTGCTGCGATACGTGCCGCTTCATGTGGGGGTTGCTTTTGGTGGGGTTGGTGCTTTGTTTGGTTGCATCATGTCTGCTGCTTGCTCGTGGGCCTCCAATCCGTGGCTGCCCATCAGGGCGTCCCAGCCGGCCTGCGTCACCCCACAGACCCGAGGCCATCACCCCCTGCCAACCTGCCACCGCCTGAACGACCCAGGTGGCGGTGCTGGCCGGGTTTGACCAGCAGGCCTCAAGCCGCAGCACCAGCTACGGCCAAACAGCTGCGGCAGCCACGCACAGCGAGGAGGCCGTCAACGGCTTTGGCGGTGGGAACGGTGCCTATGGTGCAAACGGCGCCGGGCCCACGATTGGCATCGTCCGCCGCGCGGCGCGCCGCGGCGCTCGTGGGGGCGACCAGGCGACCTCCTTTGCCAGCGGCGGCAATGCTGGCGCAGGCGGCTACAGCGGTGGCGGCGGTTACGGTGGAAGCGGCGGCGGTGGCGGAAGCGTGTTTAGCGGCGGCGGCGGCTATGGGTATGGGGTGCAGCCAATTGGTCCGCTGGGTTTTGCACCCAGCGAGCGGACGGGTGGCAAGCAGGGCAAGGGCCTGCGGCACTTCAGCATGAAGGTGAGGGAGGGAGGGTTTATGGGGTTGGGTGTGAGGGTGAGACCTTGGAGGCCTGGCTATGGAGTCAGGGTTTACAAACCCCTCAATGTGCTAGACCTGGGTTGAGGCAGTGCATCCCCATCGCAGCACTATCGATGAAATCAAGATTCGTTTGGCTGTTATGCATCAGCACGGTTGTGGTTTTTGCGTTGAAGTGGAGTCAGGTTTTGTGGGGGTTTCGGATTTGTCACATGGTTCCAGGCCTCAAGAAGCCCAGGATGGAATGAAGTGCTGGAGCGGGGGCGGCGCCCCTTGCAGGGCTGCGCAGCATTGTGCTGCCAAAAATCTCACGTCTCATGCCCACACCGCCCCGGGCTCCATTCTGTGGCACCGCGTGCAACAGCTGGCATCGGCGTCCCCCACGGCATCCCCCTCTCCACGACCGGCCGGCCGGTCCTGGCATTCCCAGCTGCTGACCCACCTTGCTGCTCCGTGACCGATGTCTGCGCCCCCCAGGTGTGTGAGAAGGTGGAGTCCAAGGGCACCACGACGTACAACGAGGTGGCGGACGAGCTGGTGGCGGAGATGAAGGGCAGCCAGCTGGAGGACGGGGTGGTGTACGACGAGAAGAACATCCGGTGGGCGGCCTCACCAGCTTGGTGGGGTGGTGGGGGTCAGGGCTGACGACCAGGCGGGGGCTGCGGCCCAGGTGGGCACGCATGATGCGCTGGGTTGTCATCATACGTGAAAACCTGCAGTCACTGACATTTAGGGTTTAGCGTTGATGCTGCGTGCAAAGATCGCGGCTGATTGCCACCCTCCTCTCAACAACCCACCCCCCTACCCTTTTGGAAAGGCGCCGTGTGTACGACGCCATCAACGTGCTCATGGCTCTTGATGTCATCCTCAAGGACAAAAAGGTGTGGCCTGGGGCGGGTGGGGGGGTGGAGTGGGATCGGAACCCAGGGTGTCCGGCTGACAAGTTCGAGGCTGCGGCAGCACTGGCAATTCCCAGCGTATTGTGCCTGATCGTAGCGTAAAGAGGCCCATCACCCCCCCTCTGCGTTCAACTATGCAAAACACCCACCAAACCCCCTCATGAACCCAGGCCATCATATGGCGCGGCTTTCACGCGGACGCCACTGGCGTCCTCGCCGGCCCTGGCCCCTCTTCCTGCGCCCCGGGTGCCGGCCGCGCCTCGAGCGGCAGCGCGGCTGCTCTCTCACGCGCACAAGAGGCACGGTCGGGGGCGGCCGCCGCTGTGGAGCGCAAGGCGGCCTACCTGGCCGACCTCGTGGAGCAGCAGAGGGCCCTGCGCGCACTGATGGCACGTAACGCGGCGTCCCCCGTGGCGCCGACTGGGACGCAGCTGGAGCTGCCCTTCCTGCTGGTTCAGGTGTGCGTTATTGTGTGGTGCCGGGAACGCGCGGAGCCAGCAAATTCGCCAACATGCTCTGCACAGTTGCATAACAAAAGGGGTGCATTTGGTGCATTCCTGCGCGTGGGGTTCTGAGATATGGGCTTTGATAAACTCAAATGGCCTCCTGTTTTTCTCATGCATGCGCTCGTGTGCGCCTCAACAAAATACGCTCCAACTTGTACGCCCAGTACGCCACGCCCATGACACCTTTAGCGCACGTCGCTGGGCGCGTGCTCGCACCACCTGCATGCCTCCGCCCTGCCCTTGTCCCACCACCCGCGCAGCCCTGCTTGCGGCTTCCTCACGCCTCCTGCTGACGCGTTCACTAGCTGATTGTGTGTGCACTTACTGACAACAGCCATGCACAACCCCCTTCTGCTCTCAGGCTAAGCCTGACGCAACGGTTGAGGTCCAGATCAGCGACGACATGCGGGACGTGCAGGTGGGGGCCGAGCAGCATCGTTGTACGCCGAGGTTGCGCGAAGGTGGCTTGGCTGGGTTGGCGCAGCACGTTCATTGCGGTTGTGTTTGGGCTGGGGGTTTGACCTTCAAACAAAAAAAGCGGGCGCGAGCAGGCGTGGTGTTGTCGTGCAGCACCACTCTCTTTATTGAGGCTTATCCTCTTGAAATCTGGCTGTCTTGTCGGCCTCAGCCTTTACTCCTGCAACCCCCTGTCCCTCCGCCGCCGCAGTTCGACTTCATGCACTCACCCTTCCAGATCCACGACGATGCGTTCGTGCTGCGTATGATAGCCGAGGAAAACAGGAAGGGCTTTGCCGTGGAGGCGGCGGCGGAGGCTGCGGCCGCAGCTCTGGCGCTCGCGGGCGGCCAGGGCGAGAGGGCGCAGTCTCACTCGCAAGGGGGACCCTTTGGCAGCGGCTAGTGCTGTTCCACCTTTGCTGCGCCAGCGCCTTGGCAAGCCAACTTGCTGGGTTTTTGGCGTATGGCACTGCAGTGACCGGCGGCTGCTTTGCACGATGCCGCACTCGGCGTCATGCAACTGCGACTGTGTGCGACAGGCTGTTTGTCCACAGCGCCACATTTTGTCGGGGCTTGGCGGTTGCGGCGACAACATTTGGTCGCGGCGGTCGGTTTTTCTCAGCAACCAGTGCCCAACACTGCGGCACCGCCTTGTGCGCTAGGAGCGCACTAGCCCTCAACATGACAGGCCCGCTTAATCATGCGGTTGCCTTCCGGCACCAGGGTGGTTGGGCAGGCAGCACAGAGGATTCCTGGAAACGGTGTATGTCTTGCAAGAGCCCAAAGTCTACAGTGGCGGCTGCATGAGGGGCTGACGGCGCACATGTTTTAGTTGGCCCCGTTGTAACGGACCGGGGTTGGCGCGCGTTTGGCTTGTCGTGCGGGACATGGCCGATGTGAGCTTCATGCAGGGCTGCTTGACTTCCCTGGGCGATGCATACTCCCCTAGCCTGAGAGGAAGTTTGCGCCCTTTTCCACCACTTCCATTTTCCACTTACGATACAAGCGCACAACCTACTTGTAGCACGCTGCTCGCTCGCCCGCCCATGTGCTGTACATGTTATCATTAGATGCGGCGGATGGATTATAGTTGATGGCGGCGCCACAGCACGCAGCATGACTTTGCTTATCCCCGCTGTGTGGCACTTGCGCGCAACAACACTTCTTTCATTCCCGGCATTGGGGATCAAGTGGCATGCAGTGTTGGTATAGTAACGCGTGGGAAACTCTGATGCATGGGAAACCACTCGTCACCACCAGTCACGTAGGACCAAAGGGTCAACATAACTGCCTAGTTCCCAGCTGGCTGGTGGCTGGCTTGTTGTGCTTGGGCCCGCATCAGCACCACAGTGGGGGCGAATTTCACGGCTTGACCCAGCCCACTGTCAATTGTACCACTAGTTGGACAGGGTAGGGTTTGTGAGTTCATCCCCTTGGAGGCATGCTGACGTCACAAGTTGACACCCACGTGACCAGCTGTCACTAGTGACACCGCTCGAGCGACACCGTGCTGAGTCAAGCCCTGCACACCTGTGAACTTCGACACCTGATGGCACCAGCCAGCCCCTAAAGTGGATCCACCCAGTTGTGGTAACCCTTCAGCCATGGGTAACTGGTGGTGACATCATCTTGAGGTCACCCATCACTCACCATGACGTCACGCAAACAAAGAGTGAGGTGCCTCTGACAGCTGCATGCTCAGTGCTTGCTACAAAACTGAGCTGTAGTAATCAACGTTCTCCCACGACAGTCATGCGTCGCTGGCAGCAACATCCAGGAAACCATCAAACCGTGGACTGCTGGAAGCT